TTTTTAAAAAATTTTCTAAGTTTTTAGTACTATTATAAATAATAGTCTTCTTAATTTTTACACTATAATAACAATACAGTATATATAAAGAATCTCTTATAAATATATATAATGTCCAAAAAAGAAGTATAGCTTCTATACCAAAACCTTAACAACTTCAACTCTCAGTATCTATATTAGCATATATAGATGATACACTTTGGATAACAAAATCTAAAGAAGAATTATGATCAATTATCACTACAGCTATCTTCTTTTATCATATAACTGACATTCAACTAAATTGATTCTTATATCAAACACATTATTCACAACTTCTATTCACTTCTTCAGCTTATCACTTATACCAATTCTTGCCAACCAACTATTCAAATTTTTAGGATGTTGGTTCACTCTTAATAATTTATACACAAAACAAAGCCAACTAATTTATGATAAAGCAATTTAACTCATTAATATTACTAACACAAAAAGAATTACAGACAAACAAGCTATCTATATTACTAATACTGCAATCATTCCTACTATTGAATACAGATTATATAACATTATTCTTAAACACTTTACTTGTAATAGCATTTTATCTAAATATCTTACTATAATTAAACATAAAGCTAAACTTTTTCATACCAGCCCAAACAGCATTATGCTTAATCATCATATATATAATATATATAATATTTGGCATATTCAACTACAACATTATATATCTTGCTTTCAACAAAGAATTAATGGCTCTAATATTCTTGGTATTTCTACCAAAATCTGACTACAGCAACTTCAAAACAACCTTTGATCTGCTACTAACATTCTTTAGTACAGCAAACCACTTATAGATGAACCTAACAAACTTACACTTAACTTCAAAATCATACAACTTCTACAACACTTTGGTATATCAATTTTAGTCAACTCTAATGTCTTGTGGTCTAACACTTTTCATGATAAATATCAACTACTAGAACCAATACTCAGTTAATATTCTAAATACTATATCTTTAGAAAACAACTTTGAAAAAAACAATATATTCTACTTAGAGCAATTATGTACTGCAGACAATAGTATATTACTTAAATAATATCATCTTTTATTAAGATTTTACAATCTAACAAAAAAAAGGCAACCTCTCTGGTTTACTTATCTGAAAGATATAATTTTATTTGATAGATTATATTGTCTAATTCTTTCCTATTTTCAACCTTCAGAAGTTAATGCTTTTACATATAATACTTCACCAATCAAGAAAAAACTTAAATCTTGGCTATTTACAACAATGATGATAATGAAAAGATCATTATTGACAAAATTTGCAAATATCTTTCAAACACAAACCAGTTCTCTATCTCATATTGGAATATGAATATTAACTTAAAACATAATTACTATTATCCACTTCTAGATTTAAACTGCATACTATATACTAAATGTCATCTTAACTTAAACAAAGTTAAGCAAACATGCATAATTAAAATTTTAGCAACTATCTGTACTAGCTTTCTAGAAAGAAAAACTTCCAAACTTAAACTTAATGCTAACTACCTAGATCTTATTTATTCAACAGCAATTAAACATCCTTCACAAATTTCACATAACTATTCTACTATCAACATATCAAATTTATCATTACAGAACTCTTTAAACCTAATGACTATTCAAACAAACTTGAAAAAATTTTTCAAACCAACTTGCCATATAAGAAATTTACTTTTTATACTAATAGATCAATATCTAATATTGGAAATTAAACAAAGCTTAATAGACATTGAATAGATTCAAACCAATAATAACAACTAAGTTCTTTATAAATTTTTAGCTAAAATCTATTTTTGGTCATCAGCTTATAAGGCAGAGCTCTTTTCTATCTTATCTACTATCTCAACTGTACCTTATAATGCAATATTTCAAATTTATACTGACTCACAATCAGTTATATCTAAGTATTACAAACTCCTTACACAACTCAATAATCCTAACAAACTCTTTAAATTTAATATATAGCCTTTATGATATACACTTTTTAATATCATCAAATCCTTTAATCTAAATATCAATTTTCACAAAGTTCAAGCCTATACAGACAATACTTTCAATAACATAACTGACTCTTTAGCAAAATAACATACCTTTTCTCTGCTTTTAAACTTTCAATATACAAACATTTATAAGTTTTTTCATATTCTACAATAAAAACAAAATTCTGTTGAGCTTTCTATTCAATACTTTATTAAAAATATTTGTAAAGCTTACATATTGGCAATGTGGTCCTTACAAAAAAGAAACAATGAATAGTCTCATATTAATCACTATATAAACTGGCAATTAACATAGCTATATCTTAACTATAACCAAAAACCCTTATTCAACTTTATTAGTTTTAAACTCAATCAATCCAAAGCCTTTAAAATTAAAGTTCTACTAAATAAACTACCAATATACTTTTCTTTTTACAATATATATCTATCTATTTTTACAAATACTAACTGCTTCTGATGTAATTGTTCTGACTTTTACTCATACTGGCTAACTTGTCTCAACTCTTCTTTTATAACAAACATTATTAATTCATTAATTCAGTACATTTTATCTAAAACAAATCTTGATTTATCTACTAGCCAGCTTTATAAACTTATTCAAAAAATTCAAAAACATTCTTCATTTGACCAAATACTATTTTAAGCAAACTCTTTCTATCTCAATCTTATTCTTAAAGTTCTTATACCTAAAGCCTTAATTAAAACAATTTATAACTACAATATACCAATTAAGATAGCTTCACAAATTATTATTCAAACACTTTTTAATATTAATGATCAAATTTATAACCAAATATAAAAACTATATTGCATTAACTTCTTTAACTAAAAAAAGAATAACAATATTACATCTCTTCAAACTTGTAATATTTACAATACTTCACAACAGATATAACAAACTAAATATTACAAAAGATCACATACAAATTATATATACTCATGTCTATATGGAATAGTAGATCAATTACACTTACATTCTAATACTTATCTACCAATTGGACAGGCTATTAGGAAAATCAATATATGGTTGACACTTTGGATTAATCATAGCATATCTTACAACTATAGTTTAACATTACAAATCTAGATGGGCCTTGACTACTATAATTAGTTTAGATCACAAATAAAGTTGTTTAAGCTTTAATTCTTGCATATAGTTTTTATTTTGGTATTTTACAATCTTAGTATATCTTTAATATATAGTATATTAATATATACAACTAAAATTATTAATAAAGATATGAGCAAGGCCTTACCTTAACATCAAAAAAAAAAAAGTATAACTTCTATTAGATATTATTAAAAAATTATATATTCTTCTCTGAGACAGTTCAGAAAAGGTAATGCAATACTAATAACTTTACTTATTTTTATTAAAAGAAGATAAATCTTGCTTGTAGACAGTACTTTAGAAAGAAGATGTATAATCTAGTGAAGTGATCAGATTTTCAAATCCTAAATGATAAGTTGAATATTTAAATCCTATTGATGATAAAAATTTGGATAATTACTTATATAATATTTATATTATTATAGCAACTATTACTAATAATTAGATTAAAATATCTGTAATAATAGTCACACTAGCATAACTAACAGATTATAAGGCATCTGTGTAACTAGTTATACAGAAAAATGCAAACTAACAAATCAGGTAGTGCAAACATTAGATAAGTTCTTGTAGTTATATAAATTTGTTAAAATTGGATAATAAAAAGTCTATTTAGAAAGACCTAAATAGAAAGGTAGCTGGATCTTTAACAGCATTATTATAAAGATTAGAACAAGAAACCAGACACTAAGGTCATAGTATTTAGTCATAGTACCTAGACAGACAAAAACCTTTAGGTTAGAAGTCTCAAAAGTAAAGTTGTTAATAAAGTACTTTAGAAATAATAAAACATATAACCTATTCTGAAGCATTCTAAAAGTAGATTATATGTTTTATTATAGTTTGAAGCATTTTATTAACAATCCTACTCAGAAGTATTACCAATTAGACTACTGAAATGAATCAGAGAAAAAAGATATTAGGCTAATTCAATATACTGATAAACTAATTATAGTCCTATATAGACTATTTGAATTGGAAGTCTGATAAAAAGACAAGTAAAAAAGCAAAGTTCTACTAAAGTACTAAGGTTATGCTATAAAGTAGATGCTGGGGTTTGTATGAACTCTACAAGAACATAGTAGTTAAATGATATAACTTTAAGTGCAAGTGTTGATTCTGCTATAGTAATATCTAGTTTAGCTATAAAAATAGATATAAAAAACTCTAAAAAGTTTACTTTAAGTTTTAAGATTAAAACAATAATCTGGATATTTAAGTATAATTCAATGATATTAATACAGATTGCAGGTTTAGAGGGTTTAAAGTAAAATATTTAAGCAGAAATATTAGGTACAGCAATTGATAAGAAAACTTTAAATGAACTTCTTAAATTAGTAATATAAAAAAGTTATATGTATAATCAATTGTATACTCTCTTATAGTAGTTCATTAAATAATATTACTAAAAAAGTCATTAATAAAAGTCAAAAGACCAAAGAAATTACTTTAACAAAAAAAAAAAATTACTCTAGAGAAAAAGTATCAATACAGTTTATAGTCAAAAGCTATTTATTAAAGTAATAACAAGAAAAGCTATTTTTAGGTTTTTATTTCTAAAAAATCTCAACATGTATTTACAATATTAAAGAAAAAAGAGATATCAATTGCTTAATAGGATTTTGAGAATTTAACAAGGTTTATTCTTCTATTTCAATTTACAATGAAGAAAAAAATATTTCAAATTATAAAATACTATTAAATAGAAATCAAAGTTATGAATTTCCAATCTGATATGCAAAAAAAACCAAAAAAAAAACTACTTGAAGGATCCTAGGGGAGCACTTTTTCTCTATAAACCTTTACTTTATAGATATGAATAAGACTACAAAGTATGAATCATCCTAAATGAAAGAATATAAAGCATCATCTGACTGGCCCTTCACTATGCTAATCACTGAAAGGACTAGTACAAGTAAGACCAATATATTAGCAAATCTTGTTTTTAGAAATAAGAGTGAGCATATATACAAAGAACAGAAAGAAGAAGCTCAATATATTAGATATGATGATTTGATAGTATGCAATTATTATCTAGATGAATCAAAATAGAGATTTGTAAGATATATGTATAGTATAATTTTAAAAGATTCAAAAGCACCATATTATGAAAATATTTAGTTTAGCTATATTTCTCCTGAAAAAATTCCAAATGTAAAATTATTCTTATCAGAAAAGAACATTGTTATTATTTTTAAGAACTTGTACATTGTTCCAAAGTATATACAAAATCAAATTATTTTTTTTTTTACTTATAGACATTATAAAAACATCTTACCTATTTATATAACACAACGTTATCATAAAGTTCCTATTATTATTTATGAAAACATCTTCAATCTAGTAATGTTTAATAGGAGTGATAGCCATTAAGATATGTTCAAGATAGCTAATTGTTATACTGATGATATAAAAAATGCATCAATAGTCATTAATAGCTACCTTCACAAAAGTGAATTTGTTGTATTTGATTTAGATAGATCTGAAAATGATCCTCTCACAATTTGGCTAAGATTTGATATTCTATTAAACTTGCAAAAGGAAATAGAAGCTAGGCAGAAGTGCAAGAAAAGAAGCGTGCAAGTTAATTCATAATTTTTACTTACATAAGTAAAACAAACAAATAGTTCTACTAAGCAATTATGCATACAGATTATATAGCTCTATAAAATAATACTAATAAAGTTAATAAATATCTTGTTAGAATGCTCTTGGAATACTTTATTACTATACTACTAGTTTTTAGGTAGCAGGTTATAAATTTCTATGTTATGAAGTTTTAATTTGCCCTTTTTTATGAACTGTCTATAAATGAGATTTTCTTTAGCATCAAGATAATATTTGGGATTCTGTGTTCATTTTATCATGAAACACCAATTAGATTCAGAAAAAAGTATATATTCTGTTTGTTGTAATAATTTTTTAACTAGTTTAAAGACTATCCAATTTAGTTGATATGCTAATTGATTTTATTTCTCTTTTGTTCAAGTTCTAGCACTATACATAATATAAACATAAAATGAATTAAAAAAATTAATTTTTCTGTTAAATTTTATTAGCTCTTTATTAATATAATAATAACTCTCATTACAAGAAATAATATCTAAATATTTCTATCTCTCAGAAGTGCTATTATTTCTTACTACTTTTCAAACTCATTTAGCCAAAGATTTGGGTCTTTTTTTATAATTCCTATAAGCTTACTAGATAACTACTGCATAAAAATTCTCAAACTTATAGTTATATTATATCACAATCGAGAATCTCCAAAATTGCTTTATTAATCTTTCTAAACTCTTTAAAAAAAACTTCATTATAGATTAGAGAGTCTAGCTTATAATAGCAGATTACAATATTTTACTCATATAAGTGTAATAGACAAATTGTTTTACTAAGCAATCATGCTATTCATTTCGCAAAAAAATAAATTATATTATAGTTAAGTTATAAACTTTAGCTTACTAAATATAGTTAAAATAAATAACTATAATTAAAATACTTCTTAGAATCAATTAGTCAATTAGTCAGATTAATTAAACTATTATAATTTCTGTTCCATTTCTCAATCTCAATATGGTATCTTTTGGTAAATTAAGATGAGATGATACTAAATTAATTTGTTTTACAAAGAAAAATAAAATTAATAATTTGTTTGTATTTTTCTTTTTGGGTCTATTAGTATTAATTGAGCTGAATGCACTTGCATTATATTGTATAAGAGAAGTAGTTACTTTGAAACTAGTTAACAAATATGATTTATTTGGTTCCAAAAGAACCTCTTCAGTCTTAGTTTTGAAATATTCATTATTTTAATGATATTTTATCAAGTCTTCAAGTTTGACTTTATAACCATATCTGTAATATCTACCAAAATATATTTTTCTTAATTTTACTTCAGTAATCTTTACCAATTTTCAGCAATCGAAACAAATAGTCATTTGCCTTTTATAGATTCTAGGCCTGCGGTATTCATTATTTGTCTCTATATGTTTGCCAAATCCTATATAAAGACAGTACATATGATAAACACTTCAATATTTCTTAGCTAACAGTATTTGCACAGTATCTTTTATTCAAACAGCCCATTGCTGTAGAGTTTCATGTGATCTAATAATAGAGAAATAATCATATATTTTTTTTATTTTAATTATTTTTTTAAAATCAGTATCATTTCTATGATTTCTTATATATATGCTAATATATTTTATATTATATTTAGAATGATTATTAATGAGTTTAGATATAACCTTATTATATTTTTCATCTAGAATAATATTAATACTAAACATATTTGATAATTATATGTAATTATATACAATAAATAAGACCTATATTTATAGCTATTTTAACAGTTTATAGCTAATTTAAGCAAGACTATACTCTATTAAATCCAAATCCATTTTTATTTTTTTTTTTTTAAATATTAAGGTAAGTACTTGCGACTCAGGATTTTATTGATAGTACATTCAGCTAATAGTTGCATTACAACTACAAGAGGCAACTATAGAAAGAGTGTACAACTAGCCATTCATACAACTTTAGTTATTGTCTAATTTAAGTAGTCCACCTGAAGGTTCTACACTAGCTGCCATACCTGGAATCCACTTGTAAGTTCTCTATTTAACTACTCTGTTTCCATATCCACCCACCTACTTCTGCCTACCAATGACCCTGGCCGATGCTGGTGAAAATATGCCATGACCACTAAGTCTTTAAAGCAGTTCTTTGGAACCTTTGACCTTGTACCTAACCTTTCAGTATCTTCTGTATTCTATTCTTATAGCTGACCTGGTATCGCTATGGCCGAGACCAACACTGGTAGTCAGGGCATACCATTAAACTACTATGCCCTTGTAGAGTTCACTTCAACCCCGGTACTTACTTTACAACATATCCTTACTACTTTGGTATTCAATTCAAGTTCCACCAAGTTGTCATTCCAGATAGCCTGAAAAGATAGAGCGAGATCATATCTCTGGTTTACACATATACTTTTTTCCTCCAGAACCTGGAAATTCTGATGACCTGGTTGGTTCATCTGGTCCCTTCTCAAAAACCAGCACATTTGTCCAGTTTCACAAGTTCTAGCTCCATTTCATAAGTCTAGTCTTTACAGTAGCACTATCGAAAGCTCGGGTTACCTCTTTACTTATGTCTTCCAAGTAGGCTTTCATCTTTCTTCTATTGGTTCCTATAATTTATATGGCCACATGGACTTATTGTAGGTTTGCACTGCCTGGTACTGATTTGCATTCCTTTGTGTAACCACAGACTTTGTCCCAAAGGACAATGTCATGTGACTGTTACACAAATGCCTTGTGACCTGCCAGTCATACTGGTGTAATATAGATTACAGATGCCTTATTTCAACCAATTGTGAAAGACATTTAACTGTAACACAGAGAGGATTTTCAAATTTTTTATTGACACTAGGATTTGAACTCTGGACCTGCCACTTGGGGGTTGACAACCTAACCACTTCACTAGGTCACCACACCCCTAGTAATTAGTATTGTCTAATATTTGTAAATTACAAGTTTTATGTTTTCTTTTTTTTTTATTTATCTTATTTTTACTTTATTTTTTGTTTTGTATTTTTTATTATTTATTCCAATATTATTATATATATATATATATATATATTAATTTTTTTTGTTTTTGTTTTTTTATAAAAGTCAAATTAGTGATATTTTATTATAAAATAGTGATTAGACAGACAGTCTATTTCTAATTAAAATAATACAACAAATTGCATTTAAGTATTATTTGAGTAGTTAGATAATGCTAAACTTAAGTATTAGAAAAATTTTATATATTCTGTATAGCTTCAAAATTTTTAATTAAATACTAACATAATTATTTAAAGTAAAAAAAAAATATATATATACAAAAATAAAATTTTTAAAAAGAAAAATATAATATAAATAATAAACATTATTAATTTATTTTTTTTTTTTTTTTTTTAGGTAACCTCTTTGGTCTTTTGATTTTTATTAATCACTTATCGGTATTGTGGTTTAATGAACCACTACAGGAGAGCATACAATTGGCTACACATGTAACTTTTCTATATTACCTATTTAAGAAGTCTACCTGAAGGTTCCCTACTAATTGCTATACCTAACATCCCTGCTTGGATGTTCCACTTTAAACCCTCTGAACCTGTAACCTGTATTAATATCACTGGGTTATTTCAGATACCCAGATCATCGTCTCAACCTTAGGACTAATTTATCCTTGAGATAAACCCCTCAGAGCCTTCTGTACTTATTTTTACAGCTATCCTAGATATCGTTATAGCAGAACCAACACTTGTGGTCAGGGCTGACCATTAAACTACTATGCCCTTGTAGAGTTTACACAGACCTCAGCATCTACTTCACAGCATATCTGAAATACTTTAGTATACCCCTGCCAGTTCACCAAACTCCCAATCCAAATAGCCTGATAGAACTTATGATCTGTCTATTGGTATATCAAGTCAGCCTGATATCTTTTTTCTTCAGCTCGATCTGACAGCCTGGTTGGTAGTACCTTTTACTTAGAGCTTTTTGCCTGTCTAACTACTTTGACCTTGGTATCCATTCATAAGGCTAGCCTTTACAGTAGAGCTGTCAAAGATCTGGCTACCTCTTTACTTAGGTCTTCCCAAATAAACTTCTTGTTATCCAATTTCAATGAATTTACATACTCACAAGAACTTATCTAGTATTTGTACTGCCTAATTGCCAGTCTGCATTTCTTCGTATAATTACAATCTTGTCTCAAAGGACAATGTCATGTAACCTGTTACATGAATGCCCCATGACCAGTCATGCTAGTGTGACTGCCATTATAGGTATCCTAACCTAATCATTAGTAACAGTTATTGTAATACAAATATTACATAGGTGATTATCCAAATTTTTGCTATCAATAGGATTTGAACACCCAACCTACCATTTAAAAAGTTGACAACCTGACCTCTTCACTAGGTCATCACACTCTTAAATTTGTTAATTATAATAATTAAAATTTCTTATATTATAATAAAATTTTTTTTTCTTTTTTTTTTATTCTTTAACAGTCTTGTCAGAGCTTAAATACAAAATTTTACTATTTGAAACATTAACTATTTCTAGTAATTTACATTTTGAAATTGCAAGCCTGGCATCATCCAAGTACAAAAACTGTACTCAAATGCAACTTGTTGCACCAGTTTATATTTAAACTAAGAGACTTTGTCAGCTCTGTCAAGAACCGAACCAAAAAGGATTTGTTCTATTCTGTACTAGTTCATCTACCTCTTTATTAAATAGCTAAATACATTTTGCTTCTTTTTCTTTATCCTTACCAACTTTTGTCTTGCTTGATATACATTTTTTGTTATTTCTTTTATTTTTGATTCTTCTTAAACTATAGCTTTTATCTTTATCTTTCTTCATTCTATATTGCTTTACTTTAGAGGTTATTCCATTCTCATTTTTCTATTTGGCTACTGTTTTGTATTTTCTTTATTATATTTCTTCTTTAAACATTACTTCTATAATCTTGATATATAGTTTCACAGAATATTTTGTACCTTTTTGTAACACTTGCTTTATATATAATTTCTT